AAGCATCCCCAGATCTCTCTACCAGGCCTCACGCTCCTGCATCAGCAGGTTACAGGGCAACACCCCAGCACCAGCCAGCGTCGTTCTGGCATCGAACGGCCACAGGGCATCAAAACTGCCTAAGATGGATTGCTAAGAAACGCTAAAGTCCTAAGACATTCATAAGAACAACTGACTTATTTTTTCCATTCAGACTCTGCCAAGTCAAAAGAATATGTGTGTCAATAAGCCTCCCCATCACGAATCCGACAGGTGAAACCTATTCAATCCCCCTACGACCACCACCAGCATGGTTAATTTTAGCACAAACCGAAGCTCTTCCAGGCCTAATGCTCCCATCAAGTTAGGTTACAGAGTTGCACCACCTTGCTCCAGCACTGGCCAGCGCTGCTCCAGTTACAACTCCCGATGACCACTGGGACTGCCCCCACAAACAGCCCCCCGCAGCTCTCTACCAGGCCTCACGCCTCCACTAAGCTAGGTCACAGAGTTGCGCCACCTGGCTCCGGCTCCGGCCAGCGTTGCTCCAGCATCAGTCTTCGAGGGCCACCGACTTTTTAACCACCCCTCGCAGGATCACAGATGGCTTGCCAGATAACACCTATTCCTACAACCTCCTCGAGAGGCAACCAAATGGAAAGCTATAGTAAACTAGATGATAGATTTCTTCGAGAGAGATCGCCCCTCCCACCCCCTCCCCCTTTCCCCTCAGCCCTACACTGCCTCCGCCGAGGAGAGTCACTCACTCTCCCTCGGCCCCAATATAGGACCAATCCTCTGAAGTACAACGTGCGACCATGATGCCATTGGGAACACGGCCAGTCCACAGCACCCACAATAATCACTGTGTGACCTGGATCTCTCCGCTGCCGTGCCGTTGTTGAATAAAAAATAATCAATAATTAATTCATATTTTTTTCGCACGTGCCCTGTACCCTCGACGCTAGGGCAAAGGGGCAAACATGACGTTACGTCCCTCCCCCAACAGAGGTAACCTACCTCCCTCCCCCAAGAGAGGTAACATACCTCCCTTTTCACCGAAGAGAGGTAGAAAGCCTTGGGAGTAAAATGCAAGTCAGCTTTGGCCTGTGCTGTGTTTTACATATGATCTGCTTTGTTAAACCACCAGTACTTGGCCCATACATAGGCCGCGGGCCGTTGCCGTTAACGCTACGCAAAGTTCGGGCTTTGGGGTACGGGAGCTCAATGGCTGGAAGCGCCAGCCAAAAACAATTGAAACGGTACCCTGGCACTTCGGCAAAAAATGGCGCGCAGGGGAATTCCAGGCTCGGCAATGATAGCTGGGCCAAGTACTGGTGGTTTAGCAGGACAGGAGAATCATACTGATCATGTGAAACAAAGACCGTTAATACGCCTGTTAAAAAAAAGTAAGGGTCTGGCAGGTAGGTAGCGAAAGAAAGATATGGTCGATGAGATGGCAGAATGCATGTTAAAAAAAAATGTGGGGTGAGAGAAAAAACAATGTATCTCCCCCAATGAGGAGAAGGCAGCTTTTCTCTAACAAAAAAGGAAAAAAGGAAAAAAGGGAAAAAAAGATTAATTTGGTTGCAACTCAGGATTGCACAATATAATATGCATAGAGGTATAGCCTATGAGGATCCTACTCATCGTAATAAAAAACGATTCGATTCCAAATATTCAGAAATGGAATAACACCCCGCCATTGTTGCTGACTCTATAGACTGAAAGTTCCCCCGGATAGAGTGATAATGACTGACTGGGCGTTCTTTTCGGCTGACGGCGGCCGTCCAAAGATCATATGCTCACAATTTGTCTTCACATATACTGCCACAGTCCTCTCGCTGTTAGCAACTCCACGATGAACATTTAAGGAGGTGCACACACTGTTTCTCTTTTTTTTTTTGGGAGGGGGGAGGGGGCGTGGGGAAGGAAACGCCTGTGCTAGAGGGGCTGATGTGAGCATCCCCCATTAAACCACCAGTACTTCCTCGAGTCGTGCCCGTTAACGCTCCACAATCTTAGGAAACATAAGGGCTACTACAGGAGCGACCAAATTCATCCGACTAGAAACGTTGCTACTCTTTCTTCTTTTTTCTGCGGCCGATAGCTGGGCCAAGTACTGGTGGGTTAACAGCACCTGCTGCGGGTAGGCTCATTCTATTCGTGGGGAGCAGCACCTGCTGGAAATCAGGCCCAGCGTCCCTCGAACACCTACGTATCTCCATGTGAACCCATTGCCAGGGCCCTTACCCGGATTCTGCACTCTTAAAAAAAAAAAGAGGGGGTGGGTGCAATACTTCCCTTTCTCCTTTTCACTTTATTTTCTGCCCTTGATATGCTAGAAAACATGTACAGAAGCATACAAGGCTATTACAAGCATTATATATGCATGACTACCTAGGCTACCAGAGTGCCCCGGGACCACTTGCCCGGGCAGGTCAAAAAAATAAATAAAGAGATGAAAAAAATTCAAAAAATATATAATATTTTTTATTTTTTATTTTAAAAATTTGGTAAAGATTTTTTTTTTACTTTTTCTTTTTTTCTTTTTTATTTTTAAAAGGGCGACGGCCTTGAGAAACTATTATTGAGCTGACCGGCCCCAAGCAATTCATTAGTAGTTGGTTTTACTCGTCACGTTCCATCATCATCTCGATTCGAACACAGATCTGTATTTCAACAGTTCATGGGTGTACCCACTGAGCTAGGCTCTTGGGTAAGAAGAATTTCGATGTGACCCTGAGGCAAAAGTTTTTCAGTTTATTTGCCTGCCTAACATAGTTTTTTTTTCGGACCCTCTGTGGTCTTTGCACGGCCGGGCCGCACTGGAAAATAGGGGGACCCCGGCGGCCCGGCTGGTAGCCTAGACGAGTACGCTTTTCAACTTTGGAAGTTCTTACTAGACAACCTGTGGTGGCTTTCCCGCAGACGCAGGAGGTATGAGCACATTCATCGCAGTTTGTGCTGCGCAAAGGAATTATTGTTGTCCAAGGGGGAAAAACAGAAGCAAATAGTGAGGCACATAAGTGGGCACATGAATGCTCTGCTGAAACCGCTTCATTTTCTGCAATTGCACTCTATCTTCGGA